TGCCCACTAAGCATTAGTGGGCATTGGTGTACAAGATTTTGGTCAGCGGTTTCCCCCTCGGGTTAACATAAGAATGTAAACTAAAAGGTGTTTTCTAATGGGAAAACACCAGTACACTTATAGTATAATAAAAAGTTTACTTATTGTCAAACTTTGTGACAGATTGTAAATAACTCTGGGGGTTAATAAAAAAAATAATAATTTTATTAATTTTAATATTAACAATTTGAATAGTTAATTCGCCAGCGATTAATTAACAATCAGGTGAATAATCCGACACGACTGGCTACAGGAAAAATCCTTTATTTTCTCACTACGTTTCGGCCATTGGTTTTGGCCCTTTTCAAGTGTACAAATCAGCATATAACATGTGGTTAGATGCCATTAGGCCCAATTAGACAATGACAAGTCGCTTCTCTCGATGTTCATGGTTGCCGTGTAGGTACAGAACTGTACCTACACGGCAACCATGTTCTGTTGACGCAGAGACTAAGGCCTAGTTTCACCAAACGTCGTTCAACTATAATCTTAGTTTAATTCATGTTTGTCTCTTTCTAAAGTTGAAAAGAGACGAAGAACGAACTAAGCTAAGCTTAAAGTCTCTGCGTCAACATCGAGAGAAGCGACTTGTCATTGTCTAATCGGGCCTAATGGCATCTAACCACATGTCATGATTTGTACACTTGAAAAGGGCCAAAACCAATGGCCGAAACGTAGTGAGAAAATAAAGGATTTTTCCTGCAGCCAGTCGTGTCGGATTATTCACCTGATTGTTTAATATTAACAATAGTTTAATATTATTCTGACATTGTGATTAAACTGTTCACGTTTCATTTAAGACAGCTGGCAAATCTATTTATTTTCTAATGCTAAATTACGATGATTAAAACCGTCGTTTGTTACGTCAGGATAATTGATACTGAAACATCAAAGTTATAATTAAAGGAGCCCTCGAAATTACAGTATGCAATTCTGAATTCAGTATGCAGTTCGCGTGGATAATACGGGAATAGTTTGATAGGTTTGCGCTGAACTAGCTCGCCTTATTCGACGCATTTGTAAGCGATGATGCGCGCAACTATTCCCTACGCGCTTGTGTAAGCAAATTGTCGACGAACGCTTCAGCACATCGTAGTGGGATTCGATTCCACGAGGAAATGACTAATTGTGGCGAATTCGGAATAGTCGTCTTTATATCTTGATCCTCTAAGGTCTTAATTATATTAATGGGAATAAAAGGAAAAAAGGATATGACGCATTCCTCGAAGTGGCATGCACGTTTTTATGCATAAATGTCTGCCACTCAATTTTTTTCACGGTTAAAATTGTCGAAAATTACATGCGAAAGTAACCTGCAAAAATTTAACTGGTAAAAAAAGATTAGCAATACCTAACAGGATTCGTTTATTAAGGAAAGAGTTTCTTATTAACGAGTGAACTTCAAATCCAAACAAATTTCTACGCCGTAAATCTAAGAGACTATAGATAATAAATTATGAACGTTTCCGCAGATTTTTATTTCTATAGAAATATATTTAAAGAAATGAAATTCTCTCAAATTAAACTATGCTTAATTATTCCTTTTCTGTTTGCCATGAAAATATACGTTCACGCAAAGAGTTCGACAATAGTTCCTTATCTATGTATTTCTTATACTCCTCATTGTCAAGTTTACTTCTATGATGAGACAATAAAATGACGAGTCATATAAATACGTCACTATTACATTTTGTGCAAATCGATGCTATTAATTTACTACTATATTAAACGTTTCATTCTCTTTTCGAATAAAACAACTCCATTGGCGCGAACGAAGAGTAACGTAAAATACGCTTGGCGGTGAATGCGTTAAATTGTCCTTTTAATTTTGAGAAATTTTAATCGCGTATTTACACTCACGTTTTGCATTATGTACATTACTTCTTTAACTTCTTATTAATACGTAACTTTATCGACGCAAATTGAGAAGATAGAGTCGAGAAATGCAATATCGTAATTCTTATTAGAGTTTCCAGTTTGCGCATCTTATTGTTAGACGTCATCATTCGCAACCCCTCGTATCGAACAAGCGCATTTGGAGTTTGATGCGACTTTGTCCACGCGGTGGCGAATGCGGATCTCGCATCTCGCCATTGCATTCATTGGCCTAGTTTGGGCTGTACAATTGATCCACATACCAAACACTGGCTCCGTGTCGAATCGCACTTCACTCCCTGGGCGCATCAGGCGGCAGCAAGCGGCGCCTCGCGTGCCGCGAAGTATAACGTTGCGCCTTCCATTATTCCATCATCTACGAAGGATGAAAAATGGACTACCGCATATTATCGATATTTTGACTGTCGACTTTTACGCCCATGCTTATGATGTAGACGTAGAATTATAGTGCACGCTTCTCTCGGGGGCGAAGTGAAGCCCTGACAAGTTGCACCGTCACGAAAACGAAAGATTTAATCTTTACCAAGTAATAGTCACGCGACTCTTCCTGTTCAAGTAATGTTAAATATTATATCCGACGTGTGTGCATAACTAATTAAGAAATGTAGGTGTATTCATTTTTCATTATCGTCCGTCGTTTCGTGCGCAAAGGTTTCAAAAATCGTAAATTTAACTTTCGTCGACCGAACGTTTGAAAACACGACGATATATGGTACGTAAGGACAATACGTATTCTCCCTCCGTCTAATTAGCCTGCTAAGTTTCTTAATTTTCAACGTGAATAACTGCGTAATAACGAATTTAATTCATTAACGATATTACGCGAGATCCGTTAAAGTGAATTAAAATGTTTTGTTTAACCACGTCTTAACTTGGCCTCGCTTCGCGCGATACAAAAGATGTGCCGGCTCCCTGTCACATGTATCGCGAACGAGGTAAAACCTGCTGGTTGCCATTGTATTGAAAGGAACGTCAGCTTATCGTCAACACGTGGCGATTTTATCTTCCTTTGCTCCGTTTTATTTCGAGGCAGGTACAGGAAGCCACGGAGTCGATTTGTTATTTAAATTTCATATTTTCGTGTTTCAACGTGTGACCAACGAATCTCAATTGCAGATTACTCACCTCTGCCGTGAATGAGCATGTATTTATATGCGACTGCGTAAAACTCGAAATCTGAGGGGGATCTCGCGCCGCTCGACTCCTCGGGATCGACTTAAATTATTATCTTAGTTACCAGGCTCGCACGTTGACTTAATTTAAGAGCTTTATAACTTTACTCGACATCTGACGGAATTAACGAACGTTGCACATATTGTACACCAAATCGCTTTAACTGCGACTATTATAATATCCGTTCTTGCGCGACATAAGATATTATTAAACACTCTTTTCGTTGGAAATGATCCATCATGAGCAGCGACTGACACAATTGTTTTGCCAACTGTATAAAATTGCATTTGTAGTTACTTCGGTTATCATTTGGTTCAGTGTTATCTTGCCAATAATGAATCGAAAAGATAATTCTGACTCATATACTCTGGGAAAAAAAAAGACAGTTATAACCCATTTTGGGGCCCACCATTAGTAATCGAATTATTTGGATTGTTCGTAACTCTACTCTGGGAAAAATTTTGACCGTTTTTTGATGTAGTTAAGCAACTTAACATTTCGGTTATTGCCACTTAAGTGAAAATTATCTTTGCGTTACTGAATATCGACAGAACTAATTGAGAGAATTGATTAGATTAGTATTACTCCAATATCTTGAATATGGATAGAACGGCTAATTGTGATTTTTAGTTACGCGAGATAAAATTCGTAAAAGTTAGAGTTACGAACAATCTAAATAATTCGATTACTAATTGTGGGCCCCAAAATGGATTGTAACTGACTTTTTTTTTCCCAGAGTAGTTTCGCGCTTATTTAATATCTTGTTTGTGGAACTAACCATACAGCACGCATGTCTAACAGACATCTTTAAGAGGTCTTTAAGTTGCCTTTTAGACTTAGGGCCTGAGCAGAATGGCTGTCTTGTACTCTTAAGACGTAAGACAGTTATTGTGCGTTACCTCAAGACACAGGCTTAAAACATAAAACATTGTCTTAAGTCTATAAGACAGCCATTCTGCTCAGGCCCGTACATATCTAAAATATGACATAAAGAGATCTTAAAGATGTCTTTTAGACACGCGTGTTGTTTAGGTAATAATAAATATTCGGAAAGATATAAAATAATTCTTCTGTAAAAGAATACGACTTTGTGCAATTACAATGCTTTTCTCATTGATATTATCAATAAGAGACGCCGTTGAGCAGACGAAATGCAAAAATGCAGGAGCGAGCAAGGTCATGTAAAGAACGCCAGAATCGCTATCTATTCCCGACTTTGATTTATCGGTATTTCGTGCCTCGTTATCAACATAACGCAAGCCAACAAATGAGCTGTTCATGTCTTAGGTCACATGAGACTTCGTCCATTGTCAAAGCACTATTTGTGTCGTCCGCGGCCATTTAAAGGAGTTTAATTGCGTGTCGGTGACGTTCTTTCTCCCGTTCCGTGATTACTTTATGGCGTCAAGTATCGTACCGATTATCTCGATAAACGATAATCCATTATTGCGCGTTGGCTGTCTGACATTTTGCTACCGAGCTGCAACTCTGCACTTTTAAACGGCGACGCAATAATACGGGGCTTAAGCTTTGATAAAAAAGGAATCTTGTGAATTTTATAAACGGCATATGACATATGGCATAACACCGGAAGCTTAAAGTAATTTTACCCGTCGTAAAAGGACCACGCGCACTATTAATAACGCAATTTTCTACCGTGGAAAAGGGTTACGTCACGGTCAATCTGCCGTCTTGCGAAGGTGTACAATTTCCGGCGACGAGGAATAGCGACAATGAAAAAGACGAAAGAGCGACAGTAAAAAAAAACGCTGCAAGTTATAAATGTAGTTTCGATATGTTAAATTTTGTCGCCCAACTTCGAAAGCTCTCAAGCGGGTTTCCGACATGTTTTTGGCTCGAATGTAAAAATTTCGTTTTTCTCTTTCTTTCAGAGGTTCTGCGGTCGATAGTCATTCCCCCTCAAACTCGCCCACCACGAAAACTTCTGACACTGAACAATTATCGACGGATGCGCCGGGTCCGTCGAAAGTACTGTCGAGCCCGGAGTACATCCAAGAAGTACGCAAAGACAGCGCACTGTACCTCGAAGAGGGAGAGGGTGCGTTGAAGACCGTGACGCAGGCTACGACCGATGTTCTCCGAAGACAGAGCAGCGGCTACGTGAGCCGTCGAGATAGTCTCGAGGACAATAGAAGAAACTCAACGACGAGCGGCGACGCGCAACAGCAAGAGAAGGAGAGGCACAAGTCGAAGCCGGCAACTCCTCTTGGAGTCTTGATCAAGGATCTCGCTGGCAGAAAAGAGGAGAACATTGAGGAGAACATTGAGAATATTGAGCCGTCCGCGGATACTGCGAAGGAGAGAATGCCGACGACAGAGGTGCACAGAAAGGTGTCGAGCTCCGGCCTCGATATGCCCAACGTTGACGAGGCAAAGGAGGTCGTCAGAGACAAAACCCTGCCGCGGCAGAAGAGTTTCGAGGCCCACGAGATCAATGATGGACTGACGACGCGCCTCAGTAAGTAAACTACGTTCGCTATCAATGCGAACTGTAATGGATTTTCAAGTTAGATAGAACGAGACTCTCGAAATTCGTCCAACGGTTAATTAGAGAATCTTCCCTCCGGGTAAATTATCGTAGGTCTAAAAATGTTACGAGAAAACTTCTCTAATACGGAAAATTGCCGATACAGCTTCAAATTTGCTTGTATGTAATCGACTTTCGTCGAATGTTATTTTTATTCGAAACAGATTCTATATAAAACTTCTTATTTGCCCCCCCCCAATTTTATTACTTAATGGAATAGTTGCTTGATGGTAAGATAAAAAAATGACGACATAAAATGTGTTTTCTTGAAAATGAACTCGTCTCAGAATTTTCACCGTTGTCCCTGTCTTCTTAGGCGATCTGCAAGTGACGTCTATCTTCAAGAACCCCAATATTTATCTCCCGCGCAATAGCGGCAAAAATGCACCATCGGACGAGGCGGACGCGCTTCAGCGAGTCGACACAGTCATCGATCGTGCCGATAGCGGCAACTCGAATTGTAAGAATGTGAACAAGACAAACGTGGAAACTATTATTGCCTCGGATAATAATCGGACTGTAGATTTGAGAAAATTATCCTTGCCCGACGAAGCAGGACCGAGCCAGCGACTGTTCGAGAAAGCTGATGTCACCTACAAATCCGTTCATTCTCGCTACCCTCACGCCAGCCCTCATAGATTGCCCAGGAAACGCATCCGAGCGCTCAATAGGGAATGCTCCGTCGATAGCCAGCATGACAGTCAACAGCAATTGAATCAATACAAAGTGCTGAACGAGATTGGAAAGGTAAGATTGAAATCCATTCGAAATCAAATGAGAAACAAAAGTAATTCTATCATGGATTTGTCCCCAAAAATCATCACCGAAATTTTTATGTACACGGAAAAAAATGTTGAATTAAAAAAAATGAAGTTGCTTGAATTAAACGTTAACGTCACGGGCTGCCACAAACAGAGATCATTCAATGGTATTTGCTATGGATTTTAATTTTAAGCATTGAACTAAATATCCAAATTATTAAGACAACTATCTAATGTTTTTCATTCATTAATGTTTCAACGATTTTATATATTTCAATTACACTGATCTTGTTGATACTACATCATTTTTTTCCGTGTACCTGCGTACTTGGTTGCTTGTACAGAAACTATTAGAAATCATGTCGATATCTTTGTTAGAAAGGAATTAGTTGCCGACTTGTCAAATCTGTGTACGAAGAAGATAGTACAAAATACTGCTGACAATTGTCGGTGAAATTTATTTATAAATTTATTCTGTGACAAATTCGTATTTCAATTGTTAAAGTCACGAAAGAGCGTGAGAATCTTATCTCTTTAACCTGATCTAGATGGAAAATATTACAAATATTTTCGCGCCGAGTCAATTTCGTGGTTGACAGTTTGCGTATATTGCGACAGTCTAATGCCTTTTCAATTATGTCCGCGGCAATTTAACAATCAAGCTGTATTCGTCGATAAGAGGATCAACGTATCGCATTCCTCTCATTGAAGAGCGAAACCATTTCACGGCGCTCACGTAACAAACGAGAGAATGATATGATTATCGATATCGCGCACGGGCGCTTCCTCCAATAACCAATAACTCGTGCCGCGAGTCATCATTTTCAGCAATTTCCCCTTCTGCCCATCCTTCGTACTCGTTAAGAAGTAATTAACAGCTGCGCAGTTACGGATTATTGCCGATAATCACGTTATATCGCGCCCGGTAACGCAACACTGCCTGCAGAAGCGGAAATTCGAACGACGCAGAAATTATTAAAAAATCATCACAGTTTTTATGCGCATTTATTCGCTATAATCGTCGATGTAATTTCGAGATAAATGATTGTGCATCCCCCCCTCCTCTCCCTCGTCTATCGAGAATGTTAATTCGCTGACGCGTTTTCTCAGACATTGCACAGCTCTTGTCCAATGAGCTCGAGTTTCTTTCTTTGGAGCACACATTTATCTCTCATCTCTGGACGTCTTCTCGGTTAATCTTTCAATTGATTCGGTGAGAATCCAAAAACGATAACTCAAGAGTGGAAACTCTTCGTCTCTGCGCGAAAATTACACGTGAGAAAATAATACTGAATAAACTTGGCGTAAAGCAGTACAAGAAAGGTTAAAAGTCGCTCGTACATTTTAGAAAAACAGCAAATTCCGTTTGCGATAAACAGCGAACGTTTCCCCTCGGATGAAAGCGCACACAAAAGCCCGTACGAAAATGAGAATGTGAAGCTCAATACTTACGCATCTTACACAGCGCGCTAAGATTCAAAATAAACGAGAGAGAGGAGAGCAAAACGACCGCTGCAATAACTTCGCACTTTGCTATAACTGAGTGAAAAGCGCGAAGCTTTCAACTGTGAGAAGAAGTTTGCAGTGCACGATCTTGAGGTTCGCGCCAGGGATTCCAGAGATCGTTTCCCTGGAGAGAAAGAGAGAGAAAGAGAGTAAGGAAGAAAGAGAGAAAGAAAGAGAGTGAGAGAGAGTGAAATACTTTTTATAAACAAGGGCAAATGTCATTCCGCGCGTGAGATCATCTTCGATGAGCGGCAGGTGGAAAAAAGAGAGCGACAAACTCGCCAAGTTTACGATTCAATCTCTCTTCCCTTACCGTATCGTATAAAACTGCATTCGAACACGAGATTGAATTCCTTGTCGAGGCAAGAGCCATCGATCGAAATAGAGTTTAATGCCGACGATTAATTACTTCAACCCCGTGACACTGAAATGTTCGAAACCGCGCGATCGCCACCGTCGTGCACTTATACTTAAATAGTAGAGGAAAGTCCCCTATTATAAGATATGCCCGTAATATGAGATAGCGCGGCTTCCGCTTAATTAATGGGCACCGTTTGTTGGTTCCACCATGAATTTGTTGCCCTCGCAGTGAAATCTGTTTAGTGGAAATTTTCTTGTTGAAGAAAACCCGCTATCTCATATTAGGAGCCTATCTCATAATAGTGGACTTTCCTCCCTATATTAACGTATCGATCTCTCTCCTTCCCGGCAATGTTGTTACGTCGGACCATCCTCGCTTTATAATTATACGATAAACATCTTATCGTGATAAGAAAAACCTAGACAATTATTATACTAATTGCTACGTTGCGTCAAGCGCTTTTTCCGAGCCAATTCATCCAACGAGATAAAATTAACTAACTCCAACTGGCACCGTAACTGCGTAGGAATAATGCGTGACATTTCTAAAAAAATCATTGCTGTCCGGGTTACTCTAGCCAACTAATATAATTTTCAAGACACGTAAAGTCAACCTTGGAAAGTTATATACGTTATTAGACGCGAGATTAAGATACACGTTATAGAGACGTTATTAAATTTTGCTGTCGCCGCTTATATATTTATAACGAAATAATGGCCACGACCGGATGTGCTCAAAGGTGACCATACCGTGAACTATAAAATTATGCTTCCACTCCCGATAGCGTCGCCGATGACCTTCGACCTAGTCGCCACGTTGATATAAAGCGCATTATGATAACAGCGTAGCTGAACCACAAAAAGGGTTGCAAGGTTAAGGTAAAGGGATGCGACGTGAGTCACATGGGATTATCGATAAAACATAATTCCTCTTTATAGAAAACGTATTCATCTCACGGTATTACTTAACGATATTTTATCGTATCGATGTCGAGATTATTCCACCTGAAATGACTTGCGTCAATGAGATGTCGTTGAGAAGAAAGAAAATAAACTCTCTAGCGATAAAAATAATCCCTGTCGAGAGAAAAATAAAATGCGATATTAAGAAATATTATTACTCCGTTTAGATGCTTAAATAATCGGGCATTTGTATCACGAAATCACAGGTCGAGTTGCAACTTATTGCAAGTATACTATTTACATCGCGTAAACAAAATTGTTCTTCGCTTCAGCGACGATTCTCTCAAGAGCATCCAGCGGCGCGTTTTCGTACGTCAGGGGTGTCGAAACAACTTAAAGATTGAATTAAACAGTGGCAACCGAGAATTCCGCGCGGAGAAAGCCCTGAAAATTTCAAGCGTCGCGTCGCCCGAGAGAACAGAAACGCGCTGCCGTCGGCGCGCTGTGCTTTCGCGCCTTCACTTATGCATCACTTCGCACTTGCGCAGGGTTCCTTCGGTGTCGTGAAGAAGGTGTTCAACGAGGAGGACGGCGCGTATTACGCCATGAAGATAGTGAGCAAGAGGAAATTAATGAAGAAAACTGGGATATTCGGGAGGATACCGCCGCGTAGAGCGGGCGCCGATCCCCTGGCGAAGGTTTACAAGGAAATCGCCATCCTGAAGAAGCTCGATCACCCCAACGTAGTGAGGCTAGTCGAGGTGCTCGACCACCCCGACAAGGACAATCTCTACCTGGTCTTCGAGCTGGTCCACAGGGGCGAGATCCTCCTTATACCCACTGACAAACCCCTGAATGAGGCAACGGCCAGGCGTTATTTCCGCGACGTTGTCATGGGAGTCGAATATCGTAAGTCGTTAAACATTCTACTTTCTTAAACACTCGTAGATTTTTCGCTAAGGCCTGGTCGCACCAACGTCGCTTTGGTCTTTCGCTCTTTGTCTCTTTCTAAGAGAAACGGAAAGAAACGAAGAGAGTGAATTAAGCTCGGTTAAAATTCCGTGACGTTGGTGCAGCCAAGCCTGAAAGATCTTGGCAGTCTTGAGCCAACGGCACACGATACTACGTTTCCTACTGGATCGCTTACGGGAGCCAATCAGGATTCAGCCTTAAGTCACCTCATCTAAAACTCTGCATCCGCATTGCTTCTCGTAAACGGCCCAGTAAGGAAAATAATATAGTGTGCCGTTGGCTTCATACGATTCAAATTACCGACTATTAATACTAAATCTTACGCGTGGCGAATAATAAACACGCGCAACGTTTCAAAATCGATTTCAGTCACGTTACCACAAATTGAATAATAATTAGTGCACTGAAAAAAATTTCTGGTTGAATATGGACGAATCAGAATTCCTTTAGGATTTACCAGAATTCCTTTAGGATTTACCAGAATTCCTGTAATCCTACAGAAATTCTGGTAAATCCTAAAGGAATTCTGGTAAATCCTAAAGGAATTATCTGATTCGTCCATATTCAACCAGAAATTTTTTTCAGTGTGAGATTCGAATTTCACTTTTTTCCTTTCAAACCTGTTTTTCAATCTCCCGAGAGGGCGATTTTTGAGGAGGATTCGTTAATCACACTGCGTAGAATGCGTCCACATTTGGCATGCATCATGTTTATCACGTACGCGTTAAATAATGGAATGCAAATCCCCTCGACAGACGGCTTTGCGTAATGTATCTGGTGCCTATTATGGATCACAACGTTCATCGCGGATCAATGACGAAAGAGGCGTCACATGCATTACGTAAATCCAGCAACCAGCGTACACTTTACACGAGAGTGTAGTATGGTCGCGTCAGACACTATTCGACAAAACATAAAATTGCTTAGATAATAATCGACTTAAAACTTGTAACACCAGTTTGATTTCACTAGAGGGGCGGACAGATGAGACGTGTCCATTTGTTACGTAAACCAATCTTTAACACTGTCGAGAGATAGACTGATGGCAGAGGGCGATCCGTAAACGCTCTCTTAACCCTTTGAGGCGTGCATTTTTCTATTGAACTATTTTTTGTGAAACTTTGTATAAAAGGATTTTCGGGGTCGCAGATTACGAATCCGTTAAGAGTTTTCAAGAAATAATCTTAAAAAACTTGGTCAATGATGAATTTTTCCGAAAAATTGCTGTTTTTTAAGATTTGTTTATTTATAAAACGTTTACAATAAATATTAAAAACTACTCAACTTCTTTTTATGTTCTTTTATTGCTAAGAGACCCAAAAAATGCAGAAGCCCGATCTAAGTGCGTTAACTAGAAATTAAATGGTCAAAAGTGAAGAAGTTGTGGTTGGTAATGTAAGTAAACCATGCTTCAAAGGGTAAGCTAGCGCCACACTATGCGCGATTCGTGATTCGCGAATAGTGTGGGGGAAAAATTCGTCGATTCACCGTGCGCAATTCGCTATTCGCAGTGATTCGCTAGCCGAGCGATTTTTTGACTAATATTAAAACTTGACTAATTGTGGACTTATGGTACAAGTCCTGTGAAAACAGGTAAAGGTTAAAAGTTGCCCGAGTCAACACGAACGAAACGACAAATAAGAAATTACGAAGGATAAACTGCGAATCGCGGATAGTGTGGCAAGTAATCACGAATGTCAAACGAATCGCGCATAGTGTGGCGCTAGCTTTAGTCGTAGGCGTCGTAAAAGGCTATTGTACACCACTTACGTTTCCCTCCGCCTTGCCTTACGCCTACGACTAAGGACCTGAGCGGAATGGCTGTCTTGTATTCTTAAGTCACAAGACAGTTATTGCGCGTTACTTTAATGCAAAGATTTAAAACATTGTCTTAAGAGTACAAGACAGCCATTCTGCTCAGACCTTAAGACAGTCTTGAACGTTTACGGATCGTTGTAATATTCAACGTAATATTCAATGTAATATTCAAATTTTTTGAAATTCGTTCATTCGTCAAAGGAGGTACCACGTGACATTTACTCTTGCTTTCACAGTGCATTACCAGAAAATCGTGCATCGCGACATAAAGCCGAGCAATCTACTGGTGGACAGGGCCGGCAGGATTAAAATCGCCGATTTAGGCGTCAGCACGGAATTAAGAGAGTCTGGAGAGCTATTGACGGGACAAGCTGGCACGCCGGCCTTCGCAGCGCCCGAAACGACCGTTGCGAACGCGCAGTACTTGGGGCCGGTGAGTATTGGCAGCGTCACATTATATTCTCACAATATATATATATGTAATGTACGATTGATGTTCAGTGTCTGACAAGGAAAATCCGGATCGAGCGGAATATGAATAATGTACTTCTACACTCGAGAAATAAATCTACAGCGGCGTATAAGTGCTTTTTCATCGACTAAGAGTTATTGCTTATAAACTGTCGTTCCTCGTACGGTAATTAAAAACCTGTTACGCTAAAATGTGGCAACTTGAAAACTATAATCGCTCCCGATCATTTGCTCCTCGACGCACGGAGAAAAAGAAAACGATTATACTCGCGGAATGGTTTTTTTTTCCTTTTTATAACGCGATGACCCATTCAGACTCCGCGTGCACTTTGAATCCTAATTACGTTCATCGGAAAGTGCGGTCTCGATATAGACTTGCGATTCGCATCTAACAAAATATCACGCTAAAATTAGCTGCTTTATTTTATACGATTTACAAAAGTTCCCTGCGAATTTCGATAATGCGGCGGCGAGTCTCATTAGCGGCCGTTCGAAAGAGGTAAAACGTGTTCGATGGGGCGGCTTTTGAGATATGATAATTAACGTCATTAAATAAGCGATAACACGCCGGTGAACTGGTTAGCTTTTAATACATCCCGTTGCACGGCGCATTAACCGCAAAGCGGAGAATAGAATGCGACGCGCTTTAACGCAGTCAAGAGGATGGTTCATTTTCTTTATCGTATAATTTATCGCGCAATTCCAATCTAACTCCCCTCTCCCTTCTCTATTACCTCACTTATTAAAATCGGATTTTTCTCAGCGCCGGATACACACACACGTTTCTGTCGCGCTCATCCGCATCGCGGAATCCGATACGCTCGCGATACGCATTCGCAATATTCACGACGCGGCGCGGCGCGTTGGAGTCGCGCAGCGAAACAGAACCGGAGACAACAAATAACGCGTATGTGCGGGGGGCGCGCACATCCAAGCGGCCGATCTCGTTTCGCGGGATTAAAAGTCGATAAATCGGCCGGCTATTACACGTCACTTCCACCCGCAAGCAGCGACCCCTCGAACCGCAGAGCCGACACGTGCGGATTGACCTACATGCATCGGAAGAGAGGCTGCTCCCGACCCAAGGACCCCTTCGGCGCGGCGCATAAACGTTCGTGATTATGGCAAAAAGAGATTTTCCGGCCGCGTCGCACCCAGGCACTCGGTCGACTGCAATTTTCGGAGTGAGAGACAAAACGAAAGCTTACTAGAAAGTCGTCGATTTATGAGATAGGTTTCTAATATGAGATAGCAGCTGTTTCAACATCCAAATTCAGTCGCAAATCTTTTTCGCAGCGATTACACAATGTAACAATGAATTTTGCACAAAACAGATTTCGCCCCGAGGGCAATAAATTCACGGTGGAATCGACCGATGACGCCCATTAATTTAACCCCGCTATCCCATATTAAGATCCTATCTCATGATAGGCGACTCTCCTCTATTGATATCCTTTAAACGCACAATGAAAGATATTGTTGCCATTCAGACTCCGCGTGCACTTTGAATCCTAATTACGTTCATCGGAAAGTGCGGTCTCGATATAGACTTGCGATTCGCATCTAACAAAATATCACGCTAAAATTAGCTGCTTTATTTTATACGATTTACAAAAGTTCCCTGCGAATTTCGATAATGCGGCGGCGAGTCTCATTAGCGGCCGTTCGAAAGAGGTAAAACGTGTTCGATGGGGCGGCTTTTGAGATATGATAATTAACGTCATTAAATAAGCGATAACACGCCGGTGAACTGGTTAGCTTTTAATACATCCCGTTGCACGGCGCATTAACCGCAAAGCGGAGAATAGAATGCGACGCGCTTTAACGCAGTCAAGAGGATGGTTCATTTGTGGAAATCACATTGCCGACGGCGAAAATCGCGAGTTGCCGCAACGACGCGACGCCGGCGCGTAATTAAAGGCGATTAATTAAACGACGTTTACGCGGCGCGTCCGCGCCGCGTGGATCCAGCGAGGCGGGACATCGGAGATAATTATCTCTTTCCATTGTTTAGTAAAAAAGCTCATCCTCTCCAAGAAAGTCCCTTCACCAACACGTTAAAAAAAACTATCTCGCTTTCTCTCTTTCTCTTTATGGGCGGGTATTACATAACACCCTGTGTATACACGGAGAGAATTTTCTCTTAAAATTTATCCTGAAAATCTTGTAATCGTGGGACAACGCGGCATTTCGAAAAATTTTATGAGTCTTTTGAAATTTCACCGGTGAAATGTATGGTACCGTCCCGCGTTTGCATGATTTTCAGGGTAAATTTTAAAAGAAAATTCTCTCCGCGTACGTAAATCAAAGCGAAATTAAAAACGAAGTTTTCGGAAGTGATAAAAAATTATCGACGAAATAAAATGACGAAATCGCTTAAATTACGGCGAACGTTAAATATGCCGTATTGAATATGTGTGAAATAAATTGAGGATCGGGATATTCGAAAGGGAGGTATTTCGGTTCGTGAAAATGAATTGCTAATAGAATGCAGTTGAAAACATTCTTCGTCAAGATAAAGAGTAGAATTTAAAATTTGCAAATATGAACGGGCAAAGTATATATGCATATATTAGAGTTCCGTATAATTGGAGCCAACAGATCGGCTCTGACAAAATTTCGCGAAAGAGAAGGATGTATATTCTCTCTCTCGGGTAATTGCTAAAAATAGAGGAACCGATCAAAAGTTGCCATCTGTTGTCCAGACTCCGATTACCAGGACTCTAATATACACGCATACATTCTTCCCTGAATGAAGATATTATCGTAGTTTTTTTTTTCACACGTAGGTACGTCGACTTTTCCGCACGAGTGACAATTACCCTAACTGTTCTCGATATTGCCATCCGTTTGCCTCGAGAGATTGCTCTTTTTTTTTCCTACAAAAATCTTTCCCGCGCGCGTGGCATCCGTAAATCTGTAAATGTCAAGCTTCTATGTTTATTAGATCCACAAAGGGAATGTTTCTTATGTATAAAAAGCTCACGGGAGCCCAGCCTCTGTCTCACAAAGCTAAAGCCAACGTCCGTGAACTCCACACTATGACATTTAAAAAATACTCTCAGGCGGTTAGGCGTAAATGACGCATAAATAATATCTATCTGATCTTTAAAGATTGTAACTCCCGTACTATTTTACTATTCCCCCCCCCCCGTCTACCTGAAATCGTCGGCTATCGCCATTCCGTGAACGGATTTTAGTACTTTACGATACCCCCGCGGCTTTCGAAGGAAAAGCTCCCGTGCCGGATGCACGTGCGCAACTGTGCCGGGAAGGCTTGGAATTCGTAAAGCGCCGCGTTTGTTTATGCTCCTATAATTGAACAAACTCGCGCTAATCCCAAAATTAAGCTCTTCCTGGAATTTCAATAATGTTGAAACGTAATGTGCGCGTTGAACGAAATGCGAGCTGATTTGCGGAGATCTCGCGTGTCTCCACGCCACTCTCTTTATCGGGCGTTTCTGCAATTAAAATAATCCCGTTGTGTTAGGGCGTATGAATAAAATATTATTTTTGCACCGAGATGAAAATTCATAAGAGACGCGAAAGAGTGGCGAACTCTGCAGTAAGTTGTAACTCCCGTTTAAACGCTCATCCGCGCCCTGTGCGTGGTTTACTTAAGGTTCGCACACATGCTTAAGATTACCCGGCTAATAAGATTTCCTCATCTATTTACATCCCTCTAAAACTTGCTTCGTGTTATTAAATTTCGAACTTTTCTCAAAGACGTAGCTTTCCCTGCAGAGTGCTTTATCGCATCCGTTCCATTAGCTAACGCATTCTTAAATTGATTTATCGGTTTTGTAGTAAATATAGATTTGACGTAGCACATCGATCTCTGTGCTTTTCAAGTGTAATAAAAATTGAAACCGACTTTTTTTCAAGTTGATTAAAAATCATTGACGAAAATTACGAAGTCGCGCGAATTACGGTGGCAGTTAAATAAATTCAATTACCATCTCTATAGTTAATATATGTAGATTTAACGTAGTTTATCTCTGCGTTTTTCAAGAGCGAGTGGAAAATAAATTAAAAACTAATTCTTTCAAGTTGATTAAAAATCATTGACGAAAATGACGAAGTCGCTTGAATTACGGTGACAATTAAATAAATTGATTTACCATCTCTATAGTTAATATATGTAGATTAAACGTAGTTCACCTCTGCGTTTCTCAAGAGCGAGTGGAAAATAAATTAAGACTAAGAATTTTTTCAAGTTGATTAAAAATTATTGACGAAAATGACGTAGTCGCTTGAATTACGGTGGCAGTTAAATAAATTGATTTACCGGCTTTATAGTAAATATAGATATGACGTAGTCCATCGATCACTGCGTTGTTCAAGAGCGGGTGTAAAATAAATTAAAAACGAATCTTTCCAAGTTGATTAAAAATCATTGACGAAAATGACGAAGTCGCTTGAATTACGGTGACAATTAAATAAATTGATTTACCGGCTTTATAGTAAATATAGATTTGACATAGTCTACTGATCTCTGCGTTGTTCAAGAGCGAGTGTAAAATAAATTAAAAACAAAATTTTCAAGTTGATTAAAAATCATTGACGAAAATGACGAAGTCGTTTTAATTACGGCGACAGTTAAATAAATTGATTTACCGGCTTTACAGTAAATACAGATTTGACGTAATCCGTCGATCTCCGCGTTTTTCAAGAGCGAGTGTAAAATAAATTAAAAACGAATATTTCCAAGATGATGAAAAACCATTGGCGAAAATGACAAAGTCGTTTGAGTTACGGTGAAAGTTAAATATGTCGTATGGAACGTATGTGAAATAAATTGAGGATATTCGAAAGGGAGAGAGACATTTCGGGCGTGAAAATGAATTGCTAACAAAATGCGGTTGAAAACATTCTTTGTCAAGGTAAAATCTAAAATCTGCAAATATGAGCGGGAAAAGAGTGTACAGTGCCGTGCATTAATTCGCTTCGGGTCGTATTGTCAAAAAGCATCTATGTTTAAATAATCAAGTACCTTTTGTCCATCTCTGTTACCCGAACCGAATTAATGCGCCGTACTGTACTGCGAAGCTGCTGGCGACTAAAAAAGCAAACCTACGCGTGTACAGTGTGAAAAATGATTACACTAAAATAATTTTGAGAAATGAAAAATAATAAAACGAGATACGAGAAATCTAAAAGAATTATTAAATCCAAAATGAAAAGTTTGTTTGAAATAAAATGAAAATAACGCAAGATACGAAAAAATCTGAAATATTTATTAAATTAAAAATAAAAATTTATTTGAAAAAATATTGCAAATGTCGGGTTTATCGACGCGAAATTGCGGAGGCTATTGTTTTAGAAAGTTATAAATATCGCGGTTCAATTGGCCGTGTGCGGAATAAAGTTAATTGACATTTCCGACCAATGAAAAAAAGCACGCAGCCCATATTCGAAGTGATACGAAAAGGAAAATATTTTCATCAGGTTCCGAGCGCTTAGCGAAAAACGTCGGTCCACTTTTATCGCGATTCCCCCCCCCCCCCGCCCCTACCGCTCTCATCTCGCACCCCCGTCGCATTCCACGAGATTTCGAGCGGCTTTATGCGCTTTTATTTAAGGAACACGCGCTACTATCGCAGGTATTGGCTGTAAACTCGCGTTTTCACGTAAAGCGCTGCGGCCGTCTCGTCAGGCTGATGGCCATTTATTTTGCCACGGCGACTTGATTAAGCGTAATCGAGCGTGTGGTCTCGCGGGTCGTGAGTCTCTTATTATAGATATCGCCTTTCCTCGACGACGACGCAGCGGAAATTCAAGCGATCGGCCGTGGTGTGTCGATAAGGTCACGCGATAACAGTAGTCTCGGCCAAGTAATCTTGAAGATATATGAGGACAAAATTATAGTTTGCCGTGCTAAATATTGCCCCCCCCCCCGCCCTCTTTTTCTCTCTGTCAAACGGCATAATAACACGATTGATGATCAGCGTTAATTTTATGCTTTCAGATAAGGTCTGTATCATTTTTGCGACAAAGTTGCCGATGCGACGACTTCCCCAAAATGACCACACATATCAATTCGGTACGCGTGCTATGTTTCTTTGACTTGCGTGCGAGGGTATACGCCTGCCGGCGAATTATAGGTTACTATAATTGGCAGCTGAGGTGGATGTGAAAGGTATAATTAGAAATAAGAGGTACGAAAAGAGACCGGACGCATTAAAAAACAGCAGAGGCGTTGATGAGGAAATCTTGAGATGATAATATTCGAGTTATGAATAGAGAGGGGTTGTTACGGTCTAGCCATGGGTCCGAAGGGATGACTGAACTATGACCTTTCCTGATAGTTGCGCGTTAAAGGGACAGCAAAAAATAACAGTTGGCTTTTCTGTAACGCGTTGCATCGCATGTAAAGCGAGAATCGAGACGTCTTGCTTACAAATCGACGCTAATTAGATCGATTAACCACAGCGGGACGAAGATAGCTAAGGAATCAACGACATTATGGTAGAATTGAAATCTTTTCAGACGTCTATAGCATTGGGAAAAGTTACGAGCGCTCCATAATAGTTTAATTTCCAACTGTTGCATTGGTATTTTTTTTATATTATAATATTATACGAGGGGGAAACCGCCGACCAAAATCTTGTACGCCAATGTCCACTGATGCCCAGTGGGCACTACTTTATCTTGTTATCTTATTTTATCTTGTTTTATCTTTATGTAATGCCCCAGCAAGGCCTAATGTCCAAAACATGCCCCAAAAATGCCTAGTAATGCCCAGTAATGCCGCAAATCTGTACGCCACAGTGCCCTCAGCGGCCCCTCGTTATAATATTAAGATCTTAATATCATATTTTTCTATTATACCCACACCGAGGAAAATATCCGATTAAATATAATCGGAGAATCCAATTACATAATAACAAACGGATATGTCCGATTAAATTGTATATCCGGCGAAAAGTGCGATCGGTTTATCGATCAAATTTCACCGGTAACTGCATTTCGTCGGATATATACAGAATTTAATTGGAAAAATTAACCATCGGAAACGGCATTTGATTAATTTGTCCGTTGGAAAGTTTTCTCAGTGTACATTCGTTGCGCAACGCGATATCGTGGTTTTCAAAATTCAATCGCTACGGTTGGATTATTTTTCGTTGCAACCGGTATATTCACAGGAACGCGTTCGCGTAAATTGTGTATATCCCATCGCAAAGCGCTGATTGAGAAAAGAGAGAAAAACAGAATGAAATATATAACCGTTCAAGCTTGACAATTACTATCTCCGTGTTTTCTCGAATATACATATGTATATGCGTGCGCATATGGTATTTTCATCCCGCGAAACGTCAATATCAAGTTTATTTCCCGAATAACAAAAAGCCGGCGTGCCGTAAAAATGTTCAGCGCTCGGGGAAAATCCGTTCGATCAAGAGGATCGCGGCTGAAACGAGGTGGGCTGCACCTCGGGAGTATTTTGTGTAAAAGTCATTGTTCGCAGCGTCTCGTATAATCCTGTCGTCCCGCTGATCAAGGCACTCCCGTAAAGTGCAAAACTGTCCCCGCTCGCCTTCTAAAATTTCGAATTAAACCCGCAACGTCATTCTTTTTTTTTTCGGGCTTAGAGCCTGCATCGCGTCCGACTTAATGAACTCGACGCAGCTGGGACACGCAAATTGCCTCGCCACGTTGCACCGGCCACTTTGTCGCGCCTTTCTTTGTCGGCTCGTCACATTGCGTTACCGCGCTCGCAGCTCCGAGAGAGGCTATTCGGGAGCGGGCGACGCCGTTGCACGCCGCGAGTTTAACGGCTTTAATTGAAGTGCATTCAATCATAGTCTCGAAAATAAATCGAGAATCTCAGGCACTTTGCACTGAATGTAATTGCGATTCAAAGTGCACGCGGAGTCTGAATGACAACAATCTTTCGCATCGTGCGTTTAAAGGATATCAATACAGGAGAGTCGCCTATTATGAGATAGGATCTTAATATGGGATAGCGGAGTTAAATTAATGGGTGTCATCGGTCGATTCCACCGTGAATTTATTGCCCTCGGGGCGAAATCTGTTTTGTGCAAAATTCATTGTTACATTGTGTAATCGCTGCGAAAAAGATTTGCGACTGAATTTGGGTGTTGAAACAGCTGCTATCTCATATTAGAAACCTATCTCATAATCGACGACTTTCTAGTAAGCTTTCGTTTTGTCTCTCACTCCGAAAATAGTCTCGAAAATAAATCGAGAATCTCAGGCACTTTGCACTGAATGTAATTGCGATTCAAAGTGCACGCGGAGTCTGAATGACAACAATCTTTCGCATCGTGCGTAGAGGAGAGTCGCTTATTATGAGATAGGATCTTAATATGGGATAGCGGAGTTAAATTACTGGACATCGTCAGTCGATTTCACCGTGAATTTATTGCCCTCGGAGCGAAATCTGTTTTGTGCAAAAATTCATTGTTACATTGTGTAA